CCTTAAACCAGAGCTAATCGCGTCAAACGGACACCGGATTCGGATTCGGCGACCCTAAAAACGTATAGATACATAAGTTTAATTTATTGACAATTGATTTTCTACATTTGACCTTGAACTGACCTTAAACCAGAGCTAATCGTGTCAAACGGACACCAGATTCAGATTCGGCAACCCCAAAACCATATGGATACCATGCTCTGGTCTTTCCGACCTGCCACTTTTTTTTTGTGGGGCTGTGTAATTATGCACCAAGTAAATATATTTATTTTCGAAGCATGTTCACCTGTTACTTAAGTCACATTTATAAAACTTTCAAGTATTTCAGTAAAAATGGTACTTCGTCTAGTTGGTACTAGCCATATGTTCATAGCACCCACCGATTAGTAGCTTTATATCAGTACGTGCGATGTAGTGCCAATAGAGATAATATAGCAATGACATTGTTACATATAACATAATGTTTTGTAGGTACCAATCTTCGAATATATTATTTAATTTTGGAAAAGTATGTTTCTGATATACAGCATTCAAAACCAGCACTAACTCTATCACTAGGTACTGCCCTATATTTCAGTTTTGACATAAACTAACACTTTTTTAATTGATAAACTCTTCTGAAATATTCTTAATATTCTACTAGAAATCGATAAATAATATAGTTTTGCACCATATAAATTAAGAAACATACAAAAAAGAGTCGCAATCATTACAGCTCAAATAATAATTTTTATTGCCCTATCGCGTGTTTATTAGAATAAATAGATTAATGTATGACATGTATGTACCTTGTTCGCTAATAAACTGAAGTGTATAATAGAAATGATATCTAATGGTGTCACGAAACTATTGTTTCTATTCATGTAATTGGTTTAATTAATTTTAAGAAGTGGTCCATGTACAGGGTGTTGCATGACGTACTGGACAAATTTAAAGTACAAGTCCCTTAGGTCATCCATCAACTTCGAGTTGCTATACACTTAAGCCATTTTTGAAACTAACTACTAAAAGACTATTGTAACCACTATTGCAAATACGTTAATACTAATTCTAAAATCGGATTTCAGTATTCGGAGTCGCTGGAGGTTACATTTGCTCCGTGATGTATTGTTTGAAAGTGTTGCAACTTTAATAATTTTTTCTCGGAAACTATAAGCATTTTACAATACGATATTGATTCCACTTCTCATGCTCTAATTTTTTTGGATAAGTTGTGAGTCGCCCTGTATACTTGTTTCAAAACACAATTTCATGTAGTTCCTGAATTAAACTTATACTTTTGATAGGCTTGAAAGAGAATTGCGAATCTAAAACAAAGTGGTATCTTTTGCCGTGAGTAAAATGTCGTTAGCAATCTGAAGATCTCTTCAAATTAATGTAGATAATAGCACGTTTGCAATTGCCTCTGAAAGATTTATTAATGTTTCTAATTTTATCCTCAATACAGGGTGGGCCACCAGTAACGCCTCGGTCGCTAGGGACCAAACGGCAAATGTTACAGAAACCTATTTAGGTGGGTATGTGTAGGTTGATTACGGCTACATTTTAAAAATATTTTGAAATATACAGGGTGTCCAAGAAAAGCGTACCATATCAAAGTTATGTATTTTTAAATGGAACACCTTGAATTTTTTTTCTGGCTTAATCAATACGAGGGTCATTTAGTCCGATGCCTCAATTTCAATTTGCTTTTTTTTATTTTCTGTACGATTATTTTTCAATGAGATCCGTTAATTTTTTATGATAATTAAAATATTGTTTGTTGTTATTACCGATTTTTTGTAGAATATGTAATATTCTGTTAAGTGGGGAATCAATATTAAATCATATCTTAATTAAAAAATTTGTAGACTTATTACAAATATTTAACTTTTTGTAAAAGTAATGGTTATGAAAACGTGGAAATAGTTGAAAAAAATTTAATTTCCAGTAGCAATAATACAAAGCAACATTTAATTAATTTTTTTTATCAAAGATAACTGTAAGCATTTCAAATTTTTAATTAATAAAAAAAATATATAATTTATACTTAAATTTTTGGAATGTAGAATGGAACCAATCAGAGAATATTAAAATATTAACGAGATGGAGGACATATCCAAATTGACTGACATATGGAAATAGAATTTCCATTAAACCTATTAAATAGTGAGAAGTGCTCTAAATATTGTATGCATAAGTCGTTTCAACACGTCTGCTATGTGAAATAAATGATTTTGGCTTATTTAAAATGCGTTCTGTCTGTTACATAAATCAATATTTCTAAATAAAACAAGTATACTTATTTATTGTAAAGACTGTCCGATTTATAAATATTCTGCAGGATACTGGTATAATATAATTAACTTATATTTTATTGAACATACTCTTAGGAAAACGCATATACAGAGTGTCCCGGTACTTGATACAAAAAAGTCGAGGACAAATAGATGAGGTCAAAATAATATTTGTTCTTCATATACATTTTTTCATATGGGCCTTCGTTATTAAGTTACGGGCCCACAAATGTGAACATTAAAAAGTTATTTTTTTTTACAGTCTCTAAACTATTAACTTCATCATGATGCAAATTTGGTGATCAATAACGTATGCGTACAGCTTGTTTTTGATGTTGTAAGTGAAACTTCATTATATCCAGGACGCCAGGGACGGACTGTGCCCAATGGTTAACGACCCAGAATTTTTGCATAGATGATGATCACAATCTACCTGTATAAAAAAATAAGTTCCCTGGAGAATTTGCCAACGATAATACCCTCTTGGTTCAACTCGGTAAAAGTAACAGTTTAGGAAATATTTGTGATTTTATGTCAATGTGCACGGTGCCTCCACCATTTTTTGTTTTTAATTTTTAATTTGACATAATTACTATGTTAGAACTATACATACTTTTAAAATAAGAGCCTAGAAAATCTTACTGTCTGCTAATGTAATTTTCACTAACAAAATTTGACAAACACACTTTAACGTAACACAAAATAGAAAAACGAAACAAGAATAAATTAAAGTAAGTTAATTATTCAGCTCCAAATATAGATGTCCATTCAGACGTTTCTCGAAAATGTATAGACCTATTAAATTATGATCCATTATTAATGTATGGAAAGGAATAGTGGGTAATCATTTGATAGGTCCATACGTTTTAGAGGAACGTCTAAATGGACATCCAAATTTGGAGTTTTTGCAAAATAATTTGCAGCCACTATTAGACGATGTTCCATTAGACACCCGAAGAAACGTTTTGTTCATGTACGATGAGGCTGCTTCCCATTTCATTATTGATGTACGAAATTATTTATCCATTGTGTTTAATAACAATTTCCATTGTGATAATATTAAACATACCCCAGAAATGCTTTTTCGTGCAAACGAATAATAATCGTAGACTTAGGAAGTGTATGTATATGGAAGTATTGAAAATGTATTTGATAGTTTTCTTTCTTTTAAATTATTTTTTTAACTTACTTTAACTTATTCTTGTTTTGTTTTTCTATTTTAGGTTATGTGTAAAGCGTGTTTGTCAAATTTTGTTAGTGAAAATTACATTAGCAGACAGTAATATTTTCTAGGCTCTTATTTTAAAAATATGTAATGTCCTATTAAAAATTAAAAAAATGGTGGAGGCGCCACCCGATGTAGGTACACTGTGAAATAAAATCACAAATATTTCCTAAACTGTTAATTTTACCGAGTTGAACCAAGAGGGTGTTATCGTTGGCAAATTCGTCAGGGAACTTATTTTTGATGCAGGCAGATTGCGATCGTCATCTATGCAAAAATTCTGGGTTGTTAATCATTGGGCATAGTCCGTCCCTAGCGTTCTGGGCATAATGGCGTTTCACTTACAACATCAAGAACAAGCTGACTAAATAAAAATAAATTTTTAATATTCACCTTTGAGGGGCCGTAACTTGTTAACGAAGGTCCGTATGAAAAAGAAATTATATATGTAGAACTGATATTATATTGACCTAATCTATTTGTACTTGACTTTTTTGTATCAGTTACTGGGACACCCTATATGGAAATTATACAACTGAAAATCTTAATTCATACTTCCATTGTCTATATTTTATATTTCTTAACTAAATATAATATAGTACATCAAGACAAGTGACGCAGAAACTAATAACAAATTACTACTAATACAATATTTCAAAAATTGACTCCTAAAATTGTAGTTTCCAAATATGTACACATCAGGGTTTATTTAATAAAGAACATATAAACTTGTATATGTATTTTTGTCTTATTACGTTAGTAGCCTGTAGACTTATAAATTGAGACACCCTGTATAGGTTATGCTTTGATAGGTATATTTTTAACAAACATGGAAATAATTACTGAATGTGGAACATTATTTAAAAAAGAAAGATATTAGTTATAAGCGGCAGAAAATTTCATTAGGTATACCTACTTTTTCAATGTAATCATTTCAGACATTAAAAATAAAAAAATATTTAACATTTGTCAAAGAGTTAGGTACCTCCATTTTCCTTTATGTCACTATTTTTAAATAATTCCTTCTTATCTTGAACATATAGTTTGAGCAAATCTTTATTTTACTTTCACTTCGCTGTTAGATGATTTCTGCAACACTTTTATAAATATAAATTTACACATTTACGAGTAAAAAATAAATACAAAAAAGAAATGTAAATCTTTAGAGCTTAGACATTTAAAAAGTACAGTTGTGTAAAAAAATTGTGTAAAGAACGAACTAATAAAATTTTTTTAAAGATCTTAAACAGTTTGAATTGGAAACTTTTTATTGTCTACAACTGTACACATTCACCAAGAGTAAGTTGCCCTAATGTAATTATTCTAGTGTTTGTTTAGTTCCGCCTTTACACTTGATAATAATGAAAAAATTCGGCACGTTATGTAAATAACTAATAGATTATTATGTTCCCGGTTACAAGTTGATGTGGCCTCCGTTCAACTTTGTTTTGATACATGTTGTCAAGGATACGAAGGTTAATAAAATTACTATTAAAAAGATGTAAGCGGTTCATTCTTATTTAAGGTTTGTCTATGAAGAAACAGTAACAGTGGTAAAAAATCCTGGGTAATTGCATGGAAGCAGAGGGTATCGTCCCTCTAAACAACAGGTAGGCAAATGTATACAATTAATTTGTATTGTTTTATGAGGGTTAAAAGACAGGCTTATATAAATCTAACGATTTAATGGTATAATAAAGTAATATCTAAAATGATTAATGAAAAACATTAAAGGGATATTTTTTATTTAACATTTGAAATAGCAGTCAAGTCAATATTTAAGACCCAATATTAATATAATTAATAATTTCATAATGCATCACTAAATATAAAATAAATACAAAAATTGTGTAGTAAGTAATTTGTTATTATAAAATTTATACATGCTTTTCAAGCCGGCACAAAAAAATAAGTTTCTAGGATTTAATGTCTTATATACTTTTATTTCTTTGCTTCAATTTACTACATTAAATGAAAGATTCAGAAGTTCTTAAATCAGTGGCACATCCAAGAGTCTCCCAAACTTTTAAGGCCTTGTTATATTATTGCTCAAAATTTTTTTAATTATACAAAGAGAATGAAATAAATTGGGACTTATACGTACATAACCACCTATTACTTAGCATTAAAACGATAGTTTATTCCAGAATATTTGATCCAAAAATGGCAAATCACAGCATCGACATTTATTACTACCACATGAGCCCACCATCTAGAGCGACACTATTGCTTATTAGAGCATTGGGTCTCAAACATAATATCAAAATTGTGGACATACCAAATAAGGGACAGATGACTTCAGAATTTTTAAAGGTAGTTTTTATTATTTTTATCGGCTAAGTCAACATATAATGTGTGTTAACTATCTTTAAAAAGTTACTTTAAATAACAATTAAAGCTAAATACGCAGCAGGCCTCATTATATGTACTGTATTTGAATTCAATTGTTTATTTCAGATAAATCCTTTGCATACAATCCCTGTAATTAATGACGGAGAATTTATAGTATACGATAGGTAAGTCAGAACAAATCTAAAGTTTTTTATTTTCCTTTTGTCTTCTTTTTTTTGTAAACTATAAATAAACGCCATTTATCTATTATCAAATAGATACGATGTAAACTTTAAAACAGTTAATTTAATAATCATTTTGCTTCTCCATATTGATTTTCCACTCCTTTAGATACCAACGAAACAAGGTCACATAAATAAATAATACTTCTTTGATATTGCAGTCATGTGATAATGAAATATTTAGTGAATCAATACGCAAAAGATGATAGCCTGTACCCGAAGGATCCCAAGAAAGAAGCAGTAGTGGATCAAAGGCTGTACTTCGAGGCATCTTACCTTTTCCCCAGATTTATAGCTTATTTCGTAAGTATCTAATAACTTTTCTTAAATACCTATATTAAGTGGAAAAGTAGCATATTGGGGTATAATATAAACGACGTCTGGATATTAATTTTTAAAGAAGGATGAGCTATACTTTACTTTAATTATTAAATATTGCAGCAGTAAGTAAAATCTTAAATCCTCTTGAGATGAGAATTTTTTATTAAATTTATGAAAGCAGCGTTGGTTTATCACGTATTAATATGTACATTTAAGAAATCAAGAATGATGAACCTGCAAGTAGTAAATGCACTTTTATAATAAGTTGAATTGTTTATTGATTGATTGATTGATTGATTGATTTATTATTGATAAAAAGACTTTTCCTTTTCAAAAAAATTATATATTTTATTATTAGCTCTCTTATTTTTCTAATTTATCTAATTCAAACAATCTCCGCAGACAAGTCACCTAACTATTGATATTGCGGAAAACGACTACTCTTATCAGCTTCATGCCACAACTGTCAGATGACCCAAAATTCACTCGAGATTTGAATTTTGCGTCATCTGGCAGCTAGATACGTTCGCAATTTTCGTACAAAAGATAGTCAAAATTCAACTTCATCAACTGTGAACAGATGAACTGAGGAAATTGGGAAAACTGGATCAATGAGTGATCTTGCGTACTTTAACAAGTTATTCAACACAAGTAGTTCGTGAGTGTGTTGCTGAGAGTCTAGGAACATCAATTCGGCACTATGGTCGAGAATTGGACACCTCGAAAAGCTCTCTACAGCGTATTGATTTGCATCTTTGTACTTGCAAAGTTCAATTGGCTCAAGAACTGGAGCCTACTGACCACGCAGAGCGAAAGGAAGTCGTTGATTGGATTATAGAACAACAGCAAGTGGATGCTAATTTTTCGAACAAAATCATCTTCAGCTCGTTTTCATCTTGATGGTTTCATTTAGAGATAGACAAAATTGTCGAATTTAGGGTTCAGAAAATCCACGAACGATTGTTGAGAAACAAATGTATCTACAACTTGTCACTGTACCAACTTTGGTTTTCATAAATTGAAAAAAAATATACTCTTGTAATTTTAATGGTAAACTGTTTCTGACGGTATTGACAATTTGGAAGAATTACACCAAATTCGTAACCATTAGATACATTTTTTTCAACTGAGGCCGGATTTTTTAATCTTCTGAAAAATGTGTCTTCCAGTTATTTCTATATCCACCTCATAAAATACGTAGGTTTAAGAAAGTGATAGACCTAACTACCTAAATACTGTACAAATGAAGCAATTTTAGGCTAAGGTATATTTGACTCAATTAACATATTTTAATCAAAAGATTATTTGATAGCATTTGTACTTCTTCATTTAAGTATAGCCTGCATACAGCGACTATTACAGATATAATATTTCTGGCTTAAAAGCTCCACATAACTCACTTGTCAATTGGAAGCTTTTTTGAAAAATATATTCCCTAAGGAATTGATTAAAAATGTTAGAAATTTTCTATTTTTTTCTTCTATGTTCTATTCTACAATATCTTATTCTTATCTCTTACATTCTAATTGCAGATGCCGACCTTGTTTGGGGGACAGCCTCCAAATGAAGAAGCTCATAAGAAGCTAGAGGAAGCTTTTCAACATATGGATAATTTTTTAAAAAATCAGAACTGGTTTGCTGGAACAAATATGACAATCGCTGACTTCTCTTTATTCTCACCATTCTCAACTGTCGTTGTAAGTTAAATTTCAAGCTAATTGAGCACAACTGTTAATTTATTCTCTCAAAACTATCTTTGGAAGCATTTGTAATATTTAATAGGGACGAAAAAGAATCCCACATTCTCACAGCACCTGTTGGTTTATGTGACTATTCCGCACATTTAATATTAAAACTCCGCCAGAGAAAAACATTGACATTTTAATCGATTTTTCTCTATTAATTTTTCTTTGACATCTAAATGCATAATCTTGCACAGAAATAAAGTGTTAGTATTATAGAAATAGGTATAAAATGTAGAATTTTGAAATCTACTAGTAAAGTAATAATTTAATATTGCTACTGTTTTTATGAACAATATATTTTTATCTTTGGTACGTTTTAGGCTTGTGATGTTTTTGACTTCACCAATTATCAAAATTTGTGGCAGTGGTACCAACGAGCAAAGAGTGCTATGTCTGGTTTTGGATATGATGAGATAGAACAAGAAGGAGCTAACGCATTTGGAGGATACTACAAAAGGAAAATAAAAGATCTCTCTTAAAAACAAGTAAATGATAGAGTTCGTTTTATATATTTTCTACTTAATAAATTACACACAATTTCACTGAATTTCACATATCTGTATAGTTATCTGATTATGAGATCATTCGATAGAAATTAGCAATTTAGCAAAACTTGTGTTCTTTATTGTTTGTATTTAATAATATTAAATGCCTTAAATAATCATTATTAAATTAGGTAACCAAATAAAGCAATACCAGCATCACAATTTTTATTATACACAAATAATACAAAGTATATTTGATTTCGATTTGAGTAAAAAGAGCATGGGTTTCCTTTTTGTACAAGTATGTATTCAAACTCTTCTAAAAATATGAATTTCCAAAACTAAAATATTTACATTACTAAGTGTAAAATCGTAATTATCATTAATAATTCCTCACAATTATAACATTCTGTAACATAAAGTACTTAAAAAATGTGTATACTTGTACTTTTAGTCCATTGCTGCTATGTTATAATCTATTCCATATAGGTAATATCGGAAGGATGACATTGCATTGTGTGGAAAATATAGTAATATGAACACTTTATTTGACCAGAAAAAGTTTTTCCTTTTTACATTGAAGATACTACATCTTCGGCTAATAAAATATTAGACTTTATTGTAGGCAATATTAGATCTGATCCTTCAACTCTTAAACTTTTGTTTGTATGTTACATAAGTCGGAGTTGATTACTCTTTATTACTCCATAAATTTAATTTTATCTCTCTCAAGACTTATTTTTTACAACATTCTTGAACAATAAGTTGTATAATATAGTTCTATAATTTACAAGTTTCGGTTAGTAAAGATTTCCTTTATACTTGCAATACAACTAAATTCTCGGCATATAAGAGTGTTAAACTAATATTTAAAAAAAAATCGCCTGCATCAGTCATTTATAGTAATTTCAGTTCAATAAGTATCAATTACCGATTTAATTTTTCATCACTACTTGTTATTTATAAATATATGGTCTAGCTTACATTTAACATATCATATTTTTATATTTTGTTGTTTATAATGTTAAATTAGGTATAATTAATTTTTCTGATAAGTACATCATATCTTCTAAGTATGTTTATTGTCACCATTTTTGTATTTATATTTTTTTATAACAAATTGTATTTCCTTAATTACTTTTTCTGTTATTGTAACTTGCTTGGAAAAATTATCTAACTCTCTAATCCAGAACTACAAACTTTAAATACAAGAAACTAGAAGTATTTGGCGAAATAGATAACAATTTTTCTAATATTGGCCTCTAGAAAACTTTTATATGAAGCAATATATGATACTTCACTAACTACACAAACTTACTAAGTAATACATGACTACTCTATATAATCTACACATCGAATAGGTAACATTTTTTTGTTGTAAAAAATTCCATCTGCAAACGAAATGTAAATCTACTAGATTTGCGAATTTCAACTAATGTATAGTCGATGATAAATTCTATTAATTCAGGTAACTTGGGGATAACTAAATGAAGCTGCTACAAATTATAACTCATTCAAAACTATAATAAAACGTAGGCTAAAAACTAGTAACTTGTAGAAACTTGGTTTATTTGACATGCTTTCACTGTAAGAACTGAACAAAAACTTGCATGATATGAAATAAGTAACGTAATTATTATTATTATTGTTGGACAAAGTTAGATGAGTAAATAAATTTAAATATCGGAAAAGAAAAAAAATCAACTAAAATCAGTTGAAGAATCTAAGAAACAAAGAATAATTTGGTCTTACGCAGGGCCTGATACTAAGGAACTAATACGAGAAAAGACATGCCAAATACAGTAAAATAATGGTCATTGTGAAGAAAAAACTGGTGGTTCAGAATATAAATCTATGATTGATTATACTACTTAATTATTAAACAAATATATTACTTTGAGCCTCGGTTAAGGCTTGATTAACTAATCAGGTGATTAGACTGTACATATTCTATTTCTTTTTTATAAAGTATAATCACAGTCTAATCGCCTGATTTATTAATCAAGCCTTAACCGGGACTCAAAGTACCGGGTCTCAGTCTATAGTGCAAGTAATTACTTAAGTTTGTATTTTTTTTTTATAAATTTAGATTTTAAAGTAAAGAAATCTTGACTTACCCTACTTGCCCCTCAAGAAATGACACTACAATTATTTTTTAAATCTCTTACCTTCTACTACATTGAATATTTGATTCACCGATGACAAAAAAGAAACCCGCGATTCTTTATAAATGTTTACATTCTACTAAGTATGTGAAATATTACATAAATCATATTGAAATAGTGCAATGTCAAAGTTTTACGTGATATGAGTAGTCGTAATATTTTTAAAATATAAACTGTGAATGAGTAGGTTTAGCTTAGAATATTGATCCATAAAATAGCTTAGAATATTGATACATAGGCACCACATTTTTATATTTTACTTAAATTTCAAAATAATGTGCTTCTTTGCCTTTACTGTAAAAATTTTGTTTTTAATAGTCACTATTTTAATAAGCAATATTGGTGAAAGTATTAGATTTATATGTTTGTAAAACCAAAAACTTTATAAGTAAGAATTAATTGAAAAATTAATTTTTAGGTGGATTTATTTTATATATAGATACAATTAAGATAATAAAAATTATGGAAATTCCTTCAATGATTATCACTTTATTACCTTGCATATCTACTTACGTATCTTGTTTATATAACCAAAACTAAATAAATTTCCAAGATTTCGATATTTCAATCGAAAGAATACTATTTCATATGAAGAAATAATTTTAGTGAAACAAGCATGATAGCGCCATCTAACAAGTATATTAAGCACTACTGTGTTACATTGGGTAAAAATGCTTTTTCATTTGCTAGAAAACTTTATATTTACTGTTTGTCATACGCCAATGAATTTATTAGATACTATCCTTGACTATATAGTCAAGGATACTATCAGTGACTATTACAAGAATTCTTGTTATTGTTCACTAATACTATTAAATTCAGGATTTGTGCCCCAACTTTTCTCCTAGACACCGAAACCGAATGGAATAGTTTTTATCTAGTTCTGCCATCTATTATATCTGTGCTCATGTACTTAATAAAACATAATAATTGATTTTGTTAGTTTGTAAATATTTTATTTAAAGATACATATATTTTGGTTGTAATATGTGTTAGAGAAAGTTAACTGCGTTATGCTTAATATGATACACCTAAGATATACGTTTTTGATTAACAGATGTCGTTAACATAACTTGTAACTTCCACATCTCTTTCGATTTTTATAATAAACCATTATCCTATACTTTGCTTGAACTGCACATCATTATAATTATAATTATTGACATAATTGGACAAATAAACCATGAATATCCATGAATTTTAATTTTATTTTTTTCACGTGAATTTGGGTTTGCCAATAAATAAATTACATGCCTTTTTGTTAAGAACTGATGGTAAGAGCAGATTTTTTTATTACGTAATGAAAGGAATAGTTTTGGTTGTATTATTGGTAAAATTATGGATTATAGAAGACGTTCATTAAATCTGAAACAGTGTTAAGTAATTTTTTTTAATAAAGTCAAGATTCAGGGATAATTTAGTCACGAATACATCTTGTTATTTCTGTTTTTATTTATTTGTTTGTTTAAAAGTGAAAAGTACATGTAAGTACCTAACACTATTATTATTGTTTACTTTCTACGTGTCACATCTTGCACATCTGTTAGTTCGATTGTTGAGGATAGCAATGTGGTTGCTATCCTCATAATATTTACAGAAACTGATACAAATTCAGAAGATAAGTCTAAAATTAAATATACAGGTAAGGTATATTACAATATTATATACATAGAGCTATCGAAACCTATGAATTTTCTAAACACTATACAGGCTGTTACAAATTCGCTTCTCACTACTTTCCAATCCGTTTTTGTTTCATTTCTGCCTTGTTTGAGGTGATATTGAAAAAAGAAGAACACTTTCTCATTGCCACTTTTTGTCCTCTATCGAATGGCATAATCAATTTTTATATGTGATGTTTCGTCTCTCCAGGACTATCATCAACTTAATTTTTTTAAATACGACCCGAACCAGATTCAGACGTTTTGTCTCGAAAAATTAAAAAATATTAACACAATGGATAAATAATTTCGTACATCAATAATGAAATGGGAAGGAGCTGCATCATGCATGAACCAAACGTTTCTTCGGGTGTCTAATGGAATATCATCTAATTATTTTGCAAGAACGCCAAATATCGATATCAACTCAGACGTTCCTAAAAAACATATGAACCTATTAAATTATTACCCCAGAAATGCCTTTTCGTGTACAAACAAATAACATTCGTAGACTTAGAAAGTGTGTGGAGGTGGAAGGCGCCTATATTGAAAATGTATTTTGATAGTTTTCTTTCTTTTAAATTATTTTTTTAACTTATTTTAATTTATTCTTGTTTTGTTTTTCTATTTTGTGTTATGTGTAAAGTGTGTGTGTGTCAAATTTTGTCAATGAAACAACATAGTACTTAAGTGTAATTAAAAATTAAAAACAAAAAATGGCGGATAATCGCAAATATTTCCTAAACTATTAATTTTACTTAGTTGAACCAAGAGGGTATTATCGTTGGCAAATTCTTCAGGGAATTTATTTTTGATACAGGCAGATTGCGATCGTCATCTATTAAAAAATTCTGGGTTGTTAACCATTGGGCATAGTCCGTCCTTGATGTTCTGGGCATAATGAAGTTTTACTTACATCAAAAACGAGCTGTACGCATGTGTTATCGATCACCAAATTTGCATCATACTGAAGTTAATAGTTTAGAGACTATAAATCAAAATAACTTATTAAGTATCACCTTTGTGAACTTGTTAACGAAGGCTCATATGAAAAAAATTTATATGAAGAGCTGATATTATTGTGACCTCATCTATTTGTATTCGACTTTTTTGTATTAACTACCGGGATACCCTGTATATTAAAAAAATTGTATTAACAAAAATTTTCAAAGAATTTATCTTATTAAAAATTATCAACAGTCTTTATATATCATTCATGATTGATGTCACGTATAAAAAAATATTAAATAATCAATATTGAATATTATCGTCAAGCTAATAGATTTGTTTTTGACATGGATATACATTCAAAACACACAACTCCCTTACAATTATTATTATTGACGTACCTATAATAACCCAAAATAACTAATTTAATTATACAGGGTGGTCCGAATTTAATGCAGGAAACTTCGAGGGCAGATAGATCTCTTTAAAAGAATAGGTATTTGCCTTAACGGCCTCGTTTTAGAGATACAGGGTGTTAAAGTTGTTAAAAAAAATTGATTTTTTGTTTATATTTCCGGAATCTATTCACCGATCTCAATAAAATTTGGTACAGATAATGTATGACAGTAGGCCTTGCATTCCCTACAATGCGAGCTCTAGAGGTTCAACCAGTGGTGTACAACTGGACAGGGGTCGCCCTCTTTTTATAAAAAAACCTACGCCACTGTATTCTTTACAACATATTGTAACGGATTTATATTCTAATGCACTAATTACGTAAAAAAGGTAACTTGAATTTTTTCCCTAAGATTCGCCGTTCTCAAGTTATTCATACCAATACAGTCCCCTTGTGGCAGACATTTCAAAACATAATATTACAAGAATATTTATGGTTATGCTTGAAAGTAATAATTCAAATAGATGGTTTTCTAGAGAGTTAAGAAATTATTGGGAATTTGGTTGGTAGCAAGAAGAAAGGTCCACAAACTTTACTGCGAATTATTCCGAGCCACACTTTCACAGAAAATTCGTCTTGAAAAGATCTTGTTCGAATTTCATGAGGATTGAACGTAGCTTCATCGATCCAAAGTATTTTTAGTAAGGATTCTGTATTATGTTGTGACTTTAACAACCACTGACAAAAATTCAGGTGTCTCTCTGCATCTTCCGAAAGTAAATTTTGCACAGGTTGTAAATGGTACCATCTTTATGTAGAACTTTTCAAATTTTCGATTTACTCATCCCGAGTTGCCGAGACGTTTTTTAATCCAAAAAGATGAAAGCGACGAGTGTAAAGAATTTTGTTGAAGTGCTTACAAATTGCACTTACTTTTAAGCATAAACATAAATACTATTGTAATATCATGGTTAGAAGTATCTGCCACAAGGGGATTGTATTAGTATGAATAACTTGAGAACGGTGAAATTTACGGAAAAAATTCAAGTTACCTATTTTACGTATTTTGTGCATTAGAATATAAATCCGTTACAATAACTTGTAAAAAATACAGCGGCGTAGGTTTTTTTTATAAAAAAAGGGGTGATCCTGTCCAGTTGTACACCACTGGTTGAACCTTTAGAGCTAATATTTTAGGTAATGCAAGGCCTACTGTCATATATTATCTGTACCAAATTTTATTGAGATCGGTTAATAGATTCCGGAGATATAAACAAAAAATTTAATTTTTTTAACATCTTCAACACCCTGTATCTCTAAAACGAGGCCGTTCCAGTCCTATGTTTATAAGGCAAACAGCTATTATTTTAAAGAGATCTATCTGCCCTTGAAGTTTCCTGCATAAAATTCGGACCACCCTGTATATAGTGCTGGTTCAAGGTTAATCGACATTTTCAAGCGTGTTTGATCTGACGAGGAATGAGAGGTGTGGTTTTATGGAGGGCCTTATACCAGCGCATTAAAGGGCTTAATCCTCTCCGGAATATAAACCCACAAAGAAATTCCGCTGATTTGTGAGTAGGCTCGAGTTAATGATGTTAATGACCAATTTTATCAAAGCAATTATGATTGCTAGTGTTATATTTAGTGATCCTGATCCCATATCTATTAATTTCCTAAGATGCGGATCTAATCTGCCTCACAAGTACTTATTAGAAGTACTTATTAATAGTCTTAATAAATAAAACGAGAAAATAAATATGAAGAAA